TTGTTCTTTTCCTCTTCAAAATGTCAAAAATAAATAAATAAATAAATAAATAAATAAATAAATAAATAAATGAAGGTTGTCTTTAGAAAATACAAATGTGTGTTTCCTAACTCTTCTCCCAGGTTTTTAATCAGAACAAAAATGATTTGTTCCACAAGGTCCACCCCAGTGCAGGTTCTACAGCCTCAATAGAACCTTCCCATAGGCACTTTCTTCTCTCTGAAGTCTTACATTGTTTAGCATCTACATTGCTCACTTAGCTTTCTACATCAATCAATAAATTTTAAAAATTAATGCCTAAGATTTAACAACCACTTTATTAGATGCTGAGCGGACACCATACATTATCAGTTAAATTTTCCCATATTACTTTGATAAAGCTGTACACTGAAGCCACAGCTTCCTTAGATCCTCTACTGCTGATTGAGGAAACCAAAATTTCTTTGCAAAATACAAATAAAAACAGAAGCAAGTTGACAATTCCTTTTAATAAAGTATATCAATGACAGCTTTGTTTTTAAATAGATACATTGTTTAAAAAGCCTTACAAGAGCATCTTTTTGCAATTACTAAGAAAAATTTAGGCTACTGTTCCCTCTGCAGAAATGCTATGTACAGATGCAAAATGATCAAAGGCTGACAGAATAATGACTCTCAAGTAAGTAGCATGGCCATCGTGTGCCTGGAGGGAGAAAAAAAAAATCAATATGGATGCTCTTAGCAATCCTAGTTAGTTGTTAGCAAGCAGTTAGCAGAAGAAAGGATTTGATGCAGGAGTCATATTCTAACTGTATAACAATATATAAAATGGCACACTCAGAAGGTATCCCAGCCCCACACAACAGTTGTTCTGATGTCTATCAGCAGGATGTCAGCCTAAGCTTTATGAAAAACAGTAGGAGGGCTGCACATTGCAACTGTACATTTCTGATCAATCTTTTAAAAGTGTCTTTACAAAGTCCTTTTCCTGATAAGAAGTTTCCCTTGGTTAATGATGCCCGAGAATGTACTTCCCTGAAGCATACTATGCTCTCACATTTCTATAATTTCTCCAGAGAGCAATTTGGCAATGTATGTAAAAAGCTATAAGAATGTTTATGTCCTTGCACCCAGTAATTCCATTCCATGAAATTTAATCTTAGAAAACAGTCAAAAACGTGAAGGTTGTGGTAGCAAGAACATCTTACAGCTCCTAGTAAGATGTAAGAATGTTTTTGTTTATTACTTTTAATGATAGAAGAAGAAAAAAGTTGGCTGAAATATATGCAAATGGACAAATGTTATTTTGTAATTGTGAAGCTTGTGGTACAATGTTAAATTAGAAAAACATGACAGTTGGCTGGGTATGGAGGCATACACTGTAATCTCAGTACTCGGGAAGCTGAGGCAGGAGGTTCACTGTGAGGTCAAAGCCAGCCTGCACTATGCAGTGGGACCCTGTCTCAACAAAACAAGACGATACAAAATTGTCCACATTATTATTGGAGTGAGTGTGCTGACTAGAAGAAAGTAGGTGCAGTAAATACACTGTGACAGAGCAATGAAATGATGGGAGATTTTCAGCTTCCCTCCCCCTTACTGCTTTCTAGACTGTCTAGAACTCTCAACCTACAGTGAGTCCTGAGAGAAAACACTGAAGGAAGTAGAAGTTCATGAATTACAAACCAAATAGTGCAGACAGAAAAATAGAAAGGTTAGAATTCAGAATAATCATTTTTTTTCTGGACCCCACTGGTTTCCCCAGTCATTAGGCAGATTTTGGTTGTGGAAAAGGAAATGAAAATTTAAAACCCTTCCTACAGCATCACAGCAGCTTCTAGTAAGATGTAAGGCAAATTCAGTGAAAAAAGTCTCACTTTAACCCTCACATAGAGAAACTCCAGTTAAGCAAATGTGACCATCTCAATCCTGTTTGTGTTTTTATTTGTACAAAACAAGGGAACAGAGGAGCTCCTGCCGAAGCAGCAGTTTCCTATCAACAGCATTCATTCCACTGGTTGAGCCAAGCCCTGCAAATGCTGTCAGAACTTACGAGCTCTCTCCACTTCAACCCTTTGTGACTTATTTGTTGCTGATCTTATGTCTCAGTTCCCTTATCTGAATCTTTCTGCCCTTTCATGCTTAAATTAACATTTATTTTTGACATTTTGACCTTTTTTGATTCCTATCCTAAATGAAAGAAAGCAAAGCAAACACACACTTCCAAACAAATGAACAAAGCAAGCCAGTTGTGGTGGTGCACGTCTGTAATCCCAACACTGGGGAGGAGGAGATAGGAGGGTCCATACAAGTTCAAGGCCAGCCTGGGCGACATAGCAAGACACTGTCTCAAACAAACAAACAAAAAAAAAGCACCACAAATAGGTGAGCAAAGTGAAATAAGTAAGTAAATGAATTGTGTTTCCACCTTGTTGTCTCCATTCTATGACAGGCAAGAGCCTAATTTATAATGGTTAGCTTCTAATACTATTGAGCATCACCTCTCTATTGGTTGGTTAGTTTCAAAACCTATGATACCATGAGGATATGTATTAATTCTAGTACTACAGAGATGTACTAAAAATCTGAATGCACTGTGCTTGCTAAGGAGAAATTTCATCTTTACAAAGTGTATTTACTTACCATAATTTCCTCATTTTGAAGTTGTCCCTCTGTGTGCACTAAATCTACAACCCAAATTTAACAGACATGAGTTACTGCTCAGAATAAATGAAGACAACTCCTGAAAGTTACATTCAACAAAATATTATTATCTAGTAAACTATAAATTAAAACCAAATTTTAAAAATTCATCAGCACTTGGGGGTTGAAATCTGATATACAAATAGAGATATGACATAAAAGGTAAGAAATAAAACTATGACATATAAAATATATCTAGTGGATAAAAGCAAACGACAGTGCAAATGTGAATTCTAGTAAAGGAATATGAGGTAAAACCAGGGGAAATTCCTTTCTATGTAAGGATCAAGCCACTAACTAATGACAACCCTCAAAGGAGCCACAGGACCATGCTGTGGAGTCATAGGTGCAGCTCTGGGTCTCAGGACAAGCAAATCTGTGACCTATGAAGTGATCCTTTCTGGTACCCAAGTTTGAAAAACCTTTACTTATGTAACAGTATAACAACAGATTAATTTATTTGGTCAAGAGCTAATCATAAAACATTCTTTGGAAACCTGAACTACTTAATCATCTGATGACAGCTACTGACATTATTCAATATTAATTTTATTTGTCTCAAAATAATTAATATATGATTTTTTCTTTCTTTCTTTCTTTTTTTTTTTTTTTTTTTTGGCTGTGGTACTTCTTGGGGAAGCTCTGGGTCTTTCCGGGGATTGAACTCAGGCCCTTGTGCTGGCCAGGGAAGCACTTATTCTACTGAGCCATCTCCCCAGCCCTATTTTTCTTTCTTTCTTTTTTTTTTTTTTTAAATAGTCTTTCTATGCAGTCCAGGCTAGCTTCAAACTCGAGGTAATCCTCCTTCCTCAGCCTCCCAACTGCTGGGATCACAGGCATGTGTCACCACAGCTGGCTCAATATACATAATTTGAAAATTATTACTAAAAGGAAAGTCTCTAGAAAGTAAGATTGTGGGGTGACTTTTTCTACTTTTTAAACCTCTTAGATTATAAAAAATAGTGATTCCTGCCTCACCCTTCACTAACCTCCAGAATAACCCTTAACAATGTGTTTCAACTTTGCTGTTTCACTGGAATTTCACTTGTTTGTTTTTACTTTTATTGTGTGCAGGATCTCACTACACAGCTCGAACACCTAGTGATCCTCCTGTTTTCAGCTTCCCGGGACTGGGATTACAGGTGCGTGCCACCATGCCTGGACTCAATCAAGGGCTTAGCGTGCCCTGGGATCAGGGCCAGTGGGGCATGTGGTGCCAGGGATCGAATCCCAGCCCCTGAGATTGCCTAAGCAGGAAGTTGAGTCTGTTGAGCTATCTCATCGGCTCTATTTTTTGTACAGGGGATTGAACTCAGGACCTTGAGCTTGCCAGGTGGGCACTTATGCCACTGAACTATGTCCCCAGCCCTGGAATTTCAATATGATTACATTCTTTTCCTTATTTATCAGTTTCTTTGACTTTATATTATGGGTAGGTGAAAATCTGGGTTTGTTTTGTTTTACAGTAGTTGGGATTGAACCTCTGGAGTTCATTCCCAGGCATTTAATGTTTTTTACATTTTGAGACAGGATCTCACTAATTTGTCTAGGTTGGCTCTAAACTTATAATTTTCTTGCCTTAGTCTCCTAAGTAGTTATTGTGACTGCATGTAGCTCCATGACTGGCAAAAATACAGACATTTTTTGTTTTGAGACAGAGTCTTGCTATGTAGTTCAGGCGAGACTCATAAATTTATTGTGTAGCCCAGGCTGTCCTTGAACTCACGGCACGGCCTGAAACTCCTGAATGCCACCACACCTTGTTAAAAATTCATATATCATAAACCAACATCTACTTCTTCCTCTTACAACTTTTCTCTCTTCTCATCCTCTCAATTTTAAAATCAATACTTCACAATTAATTATTGTGCTTAAGTGTATAGTAATGATATTTTCCTATATAACTCCTCCATTAATTTCATTTAGTTTTTTTTAAGTTATGAAAAAGTGAAAAATCTCAAATATACATGAAAAAATAGCAAACAATTATAGTTGTCACATTTTATAATTAGTAACATTTTAGAATGGTTGATTTATTTAAATTTTTTACTCAAATATTTTCTGACTTTATTTATTTATTTATGCGATACCAGGGATCAAACTTAGGACCTCGCACTTGCCAGGCAGGCTCTTATGCTGCTGAGCTATATCCCTGGCCCCTCAAAATATTTTAAGGTAAGTTTAAGACATTATGTATTTCATCTCTATTTTATCCATTTTTAAAAAAGGTGAATAAGCACTTCCCTAGCAAACACAAGGGTCTGAGTTCAATCCCCAGTTCCGAAAAAAAAAAAAAAAAAGGTGATAGACTTATCTGATCAGAAGAGAAACCAGAGTATATCCATCTTTAAATACAGGATATTTTTTACATAATTATAATATTATCATATTAATGTCAAAAATAATGCCATAAACTGGATGTGGTAGCCTGTAATTCTAGCACTTGGCTAGGCTAAAGTGGAAGGACTACAGTGAGTTCTAGTCTAGTCCAACTTGGGCTACATAGTAAGTTCAAGGCCACACTGAATTATATGAGACCCTGTGTGAAAACAAAGTAAAACAGAACAATGCCTTAGTACATAGTCCTTATTCAAATTTCCCCAATTATGCTCCAAATGTCTTTTTATAACTATTCATGTTAGAATTAAGTACAGTAAGCCACTGATTTATGAACATTCAAGTTGAGAACTTCCATAGGTATACTATGTAAGGCTCACTTTGTGGACTTAATAATGAAAACTCTTTCAGAAACAGAACTTCTTATAAGTCATGGACTTACTGCATCTTTAATCTTGAACCGTTTTTTCTCCTATACACACAATTCTTTTTTTCAGGTCCACTGTCCTATAGAACATCTTAACATTTTTAAACTTTGTCATCTTGCCTCCCCATTTAATAAGATTCTTTTTCTTCTATTTCCCATAGACTGGAAGTGAGAGTTAAAAGCCTTATCACATTCAGGTTGGGTTTTTTTCCCCCTTTTTTGGGGTGGTGCTGGGTAGGCATCAAACACAGGGAATTGTGTATGTCAGGTAAGAATTATATGCCACTGAGCAACAACCCTGACCCAACATTCAGGGTTTGAGGCCTTCTTCAAAATTGTGGTGATTTTTGGTTGTGTTCTGTTACTTATAAATAATAAATCATTTGAAGCTGTCAGAGTGGGGCTGCTGACTGGCAGACTTCAACACAGCAACCAGGAGCGAGCGAGCCTTTGTCAGCATCCACAGACTTTTTCTGGGGCTACTCAGTTTCTTCAAAGATGAATCCTTTATGTCCTAGTGGGGTCACACTCTTGGTTTATGTCATTAATAGCAAAGCACTAGAAGAAGGCTGGAGTTCCCATTGTTGGACATGCAGGTTTCCACTTTAATGCTCTGACTCAGCCCTACATGTCACTCAATTTCTCATGCTCTCTTGGGTCCTGAGTCTTGATACTATATTCAGTGTCCATTGTCATCTCCCATGGTCATGGAGGTCTGAAGGAAAGAAGTGGTCATCTAGCTTTATAGGATTGGAGAAGGTACCTAGAGCCCAGCCATTCTACAAATGTTCAAATAATCACCCATTTTGTGGCCCTGTCTTATACTGTGCACAACTTCTAGAGCTTTTCTTCAAGTTTGAGACCTTACTAGATTTATATGTACAGTGGCTTGATAATGCTTTCCTTGGCAGGCTCTTAGGTTCTAACCTAATCCATTCAGTTTTAGAAGTTCTTCCTTTTCCTCTGTCATAATAAATACTAATCTGACCAGACATGGTGGCATATGTCTGTAATCCCTACAGTCTGGGAGGCTGAGGCACAAGGATAGAAAGTTCAAGTCCTGCCTGGCCAACTTAGTGACTTTAGTGAGACTCTGGTTCCTTGTTTAATTTTTTGTACTGGGAGGCTTATGACTCCTTTTATTTTTTTCACTACAATTTTCATGGGAACAGTACTTTAGGAAGGACAGGAGATGGACACATTGAGATAATATAGTTGTGTTTAACTGGAGGCTACCAATTCTACTGATGGTAAGTAAAGGGTTATTTATCAGAAAAGAAGATGAGAAACTAATATTTATTGTTTATCATATGCCAACCAATAGCTCACAAAAGCTTCAATGGTAAGTATCACCTGTTTTTTTTTTTTAAAGAATTTTTTTTTTAAAATTTTATTTATTTAT